TTTGACTTCTTGTTTCGTTCAGCTATTTTAAATGGATATTATGGTTTACGATTGAAGTCTCCAATTAAATTGGCCTCTGGCTTCTCAAAGATTTCGATCGCTTTCAGCTCCTTCTTAAAAACCCATTGAAGCTTGATTGAAGGGTGAAGTTCCATACACTTTGACGTTTTTTACACGAACTTCTCAGTAGTATCACTTTGGCCAGATTTGTTAGTTTTTCAAAATGTACTCAGTATTATCGACATGTAAACTTAGATATAAATGCTGATTGTCGAAAACGTGGCTAAAAAACTGTGTTTTCCTTTCGTCCAGGAAATATGCAATGATAGAGAAGAATACATTTAGATAGCAATTAACTGTTCACTCCGACATTGCAGAACTGAGCATTTCAAGAGAAATACTATGAATAGATGTATGAATCACATAAGTTATCAGCTTGTAGTATCTTTTGGTACCGTTTTGGTATTTTTTTCAACATATTATCAATAATAGTAAAGCTTTAGTAAAGCCTGATTCGAACTGTGCATGTTCAAGATAATTATGTAAACCCGAGATGTAGTCAATAGTCAGATTCTTTCAACCCCCTTGTTGCCAGAAGAGGCAATGCTAGCACGAGACAATTTATCTAGTATACGCATAGATCAAGAAGGAAAAACGATGGTTGAGGACGAGGAAGATTGAAACGGATTGTAAACGACACACTCGAACGATGAATTTTTTTTCTTTTTAAATATGATCAGGCCGTAGTGTAGTACTTGAACCCAGACATAAGGCTTTTGCCCCCTAGATGGGGGTGAAACTCGTATTGTGTCTAAATTAGCATGACAAGAGAGCTAGACAAAGCTTCTAAGCGGGTTAATTAAAGAAGGAAAAATAAGTTTAAAAATTTTCACACCAATTTGTGCTTCTCTCCATTTATGAACTAATTGGAAGAAAAAGAAAGAAAATAAGAACTTTTTCGCTGTCGATAAATGTGTATAGGGCGACCACACCCATTCCAGAGCTAAATTTTAAAGCATCATTTTGCTTGAAATGGTGTTGAAATTAGGAAAGAGTTGATAGTTTCTATCAATTTGACTTTGATTTAGTTCAAAACAAGTAGAAGTGTGACATTTTGAAATATTTCAAGAGAGAATGGAAGAGATGGCTTGAGCGCGTTGTAACGCGACTTTCAGAAAACCAACCGCTGGCCTTTGGGTCACGCTCCTAAGTCACAGGTTTTAAAATCAAAATTCACGTGACGTGTCAAGATATTAATAGCCCTGATTATGCTTCACATTCCTAAACATCACACGCAAGCACTTTCACTTTCTTCGCAATTTGTCGTGTTTTACAACTTTCGATTTTCGTTCCCAAGTTAGCACAGTGTTAGAGGAAATCTTAGACACAATTCTGCTCCGCTGTCATCGTCATTTGGTAAGTAAAATAGTTCTGATATTCGTAAAACCCGTTTTGTTTACGGTATTATAAACGTTTTGAGGACATTCGCATGTTCAAAGTTGCTGCGTATTTCGTTGGTTTCTGGCGACATCTTATGACTTTCACGCGCTCTGGAACAATTTTTGAACTAACCTTACCCCACTTCTTCCCTTAGATCGAAAGCTGTTGCATTTCATCATGATTTATTGGTTGTGGGAAGCAGTTCAAATTTGATATTATGTTGATCGGCTTTTGTTTTGGTGCCATTTGCATGCCAAATTTCAGTTCATATTATTTCATCGAACAACCGCGCTCATCGTTAGGCCATAAGTACTCATTCAAAGAATTTATGATTTTCAAGGATTTTTTTACATCTGTTGTAAGAAAATTACTCGATTTGTGATTAAACAGAAAAAGTACAGGGCAATGATTTTATAATTACATCGTTACAGTCACGCTCTCCAAATTAAGCTGGTCAGGGTTACAAAGTTGACAGGGTGTGATACCTAAGTTTCTCTATGTTACCTGTAAGTGATATCTCAGTTATTATTTTTTTGCCAAAATTAACGTTTAAAACAAAGGTTTTCGCAGATAGAGGACACGATTTGCTCTTTTTTCCCTGATATTTCTCTTTTTGTTGCGTGACTTTTGGCTGAAACCATCGAAGATAAATTTTGAGTGTAGTTCCTAGCGTGACTTAGCGTGACGCGTCTTACCTGCTGTTGACATTGGCCAATGAGAAGCATTTTATTGTTACAGACACTCGCGTGAGGCACAGTGTCCTGTAAATGTACGTGAGAATTTATCAGAGGGTTTGAATGTAACTTTTGAAGGAAATGTAACATTTTGAATCACGAAACAATAATTATGTTTGTTGCCAATTTTTTTGGTTTTTACTTTCGAAACCTCTAGTGCAGTATTCAAAATTCAGCCCTCTTATAAATATCTTCTTTAAAATCGTTTTAAAATTTAAATGACATGATCTCTTTCCGGTATTTAGACATGATTTGGAATTGAAGAGCGATTAAACCATGCCTTTTTAAGACTCGAAAGAGAATATCAAAAGAACGCGTTTAGGTTTGTGGATAGCTTATCAAAATTTTATTTGCCCAATATTTCTGTTTCTCTTTTTTAAAATTGATAGATATCAGGAGTATCATGTAAATAGACAAAGAAATGAACGAGACGATGCTCTCAAGATATCAGAATAAAAGAATCACTCCAAGTTTAAGAAAAATGATCTTCTTCCTCGGTTGGGAAAATTCCAAACTGCCGCGTGTTTAATTAGTCCATATAATACCGTGCCTGGCAGTCTGATCAGAAGTGAAGAATTTTTTCGGTGTCTACAACCGGAGCCATCTTATTAGATGCTCATGCACAGACAATTTTTCCGCCGAAAAAAACAAATTAAATCTTGGAATCGCTAGGTATTTCTAAACAATAACAATATTTCTAAACGATATTCTTTAAAAAGGTTAGAGAAGCTTTCAGGGGAAATTCTGTTAAAATTTCTGACTGCCGGGCATTTAGTCTATTTTGAAACCGTGCCTGACTGCTGGGCATTTAGCCACGGCAACATAGAAGAATCATTCCAGTTCTCTTGAAGTGTGTTAATTATTAATTCATACAGAGCAGGTGTATTTTGATTATTTTGCCTTTTTACGGTCAGATAATAAATTCAGTGTCGTTTTTGGTAATTTTTGCATATTATTACACATAATTAGATGTAATTTTCATCGCGAGAAGTTTTAGTAGTCTCGTTTTAAAGAGCTGTATCTTCTTGGTGGCTACCGAAATTTATCATTTTGATGGGTTGTTTTCTTTTTCTCGACTCAGAATCTCAGCAATGGGTAGCGCAACATCAAAGGCAAAGAAAAACAGTCAAAAGGAAACAGATCCACAGCGCCACCCGCCGTCTTCACGAGGTAAAACTCTGAGCGACACAAAGAAAATCCTTCTTCTTCACAAATCGGGCGAAGAGCAGCTCAAAGTCGTGAAGAATTTCCGCGACGCTTTGACTATAGCAGCGAATGGCGGCATTCGCGTGATAAATTCTGTCAACATCGATGAAGGAACAGATAATTTCGAAGGGCTTCCCTGGCTTGAACTGGAATTAAACAACGTTATTTTAATCTGCCTAACGTCAGAGGCCATCGTCCAGTTGGAAACTATACTTCGTGAGAAGCGGCTGGCAGATGAAAACGGCCACCTTCATGGAAAAGTTTTCAGCGTTTCGTTTGGGGAAAACATGTCTTCTGAATGGCCACCGAAGGGGATCAAACGAAGTACACTTAATGCCCGAGATTTCTACTTCGGGTTCGCAAACGTGGAAAAGTTACGGACGAAAGATTTTGAAAAATCGGAAAAAATGAATGCTCTTGTCGCCGCGATCAAAGGAACAGATTAGGACAGAACTGATTCCCTTCGAAAGGAATTTGTTTCTGTAAGTATTTTTAAAGTCCTGAATACCTCGTATAAAATTAGAAATGATCTTTACCTTCAAAAGGTGTCGGCTACAGCTTCTGAACTATGGTCGCGGAACAGAAATACGTGATTAGTTACATTTTTACAACGAACTAAGATTTAGCGTAGATTCAAGAGGTTTCGCGTTTACGAATGATTGTAAAAGACAGCCTGGATTTTCGCCTAGTGTTTTGTTATTTACGAGTTTTATTAGATTTTGATAAATGCTTCCCTTTTTTATGCGTTGTCAGTTCAGAAAATTTTTTAGTGATTTTTACAAAATTCTTTGTATTCGTTAACCTAGGTATAGAGATCATCTGATTTAAATTTATGTCACCGAGTTTTGCAATAAACCAATGTTGAAGAGGATATTCTCAGTTCTGCTTTATATTCATTATAAATATATTAAATATGCGTTTTCCTTGTTGGGATTTTGTGTTCCAAATAACAATTTAGAAATATTTGCTTATTTGGATGTAAAAATACTAGTACGTAAGGTCTTTCTACGCGGTAAATAAGATGCATTGTTGCCGGAAGTTAGTGCAGCTTCCGGTCACAGTGATTGTAACCAATCACAGAGTAGGAGATTTTTCAAGCGTGCATAGTGTGATTCGGGTGTGTGGAATTGTTTAATATAGCCGATGGAATTCCGTCGCTTTGGACATAAATTCAACTGAATCCAGCATGGAAAACTCAGACAACAACTATACAGCTGTTCCGATGGAACAAAGGCGACCTAACAGCGATCACAAAGAACATGCCTTGGAAAAACCTTTTGACGAAGAGTTCTGGGTGAAGGTGAGTGGCACGCTTTCGCTTTTATCCATGCAGTTTGTTTTGATTACTAAACATAATTTCTTGATCTTCGCAAACACTATTTTCATGGGCTTGCTGTTTGTATTTACTCTAAATCTCATGATCGATCATGTAAACACAAATAAGTTGCGTTTGTCAACTAAAGGATCGTGTTATTTATTCCTAAGTTGAATCTTATCGCATGCATGTTATATTTAATATAACAATCGTAGGATTGAATGAAAGCTAACATATCATAGCGTTCCTTTTGAGCTAGATGGTTTGGTTACAGTTTATTCTTGGACATACGCTGTGTGATTAACGAACCTCTTTGTTTTTCTCGTTTGAAATTTGGCTAATAAACGTACAGCGTTGAAAAGCGTACAATCCTTGATTTTTCGAATATAAATGTCAACTGTCACTTAACTTTTCATTCGCGTTCGATGTTTCTGACATGAACTGCCTTTGAATCACTTATAAAGGCAGTGAAGTCTGTTGTAATTGTTGATAATGCCTTCTCTTGGAAGATATCAAGGAATAACTCAATTGTGATGACTGCTGTCATCCTTTCTTCCTTTCTTTTAACTCATTAACTCCCATAAGTGATCAGTACAGAAATTCTCTTTACAATATCAATACAACATCAAGCCGACAAGTGATGGGAATAAAGCAAAATATCAGTCAGGGGTTAAATAGTTGATCCAATGCCAAATTCTCACAACTAACATCACAAGAATTGTATGACAAACAGTAAGGAGGAATTTGCTTCTGAGATCTTGGAGAGGAAGTGCTCAGAGTGGAGTGATATGTACCTCACTTATCTCAGATGACTCTTAAGCCAAGACACAAAACAGCTATATAAGCTTGTGCAACAGGTTTCTCTGGCAAAGCATATGATATACAAGTATACTGTATACAAAACAAGTCATAATTTGGAGATCATATTATTGCTGTGCATGCAGCACCATTTGCAAACTGTATGGTTCCAATATATCCAATTTTCTCTTACTCTGTAAGTAGCAATACTGTTGTTGTTAACTCTTCAACCTGTTATAGTGACTAGTATCTTATTTTTCCTTACAATATCAGCCCCGAATCATATATTAAGTAAACCCTTAAGCCCCTAAGAGTGACCAGCATCTAATTTCTCCTTACAATATCACCCCTGAATCAAACCTAAAAGTCATGAGAATAGAAGAGATGAGTACCATAAAGCAGCTCTTGATTGTAAAACAAATTCTCCTTCTCAGCTTTTTTGGAAATGTATAGAGAACAGTATGGAGTTTATGCATACTGATGTTAGGGTGTAAAGGATTGAGGTCACGAGAACAAAGAAAATCTGCTCCGATGCATTTTTTTTCTTTCTCAAAATTGTGAATCTTACCAGACTAGGTTTGCTTTGCTCATCTCTCTTCTCCAGAGCACACATGTAGTAAGTGAACAGATCTGACCTTTGAAAATATTTTAACTATAAGGTACAAGAAAAGTTTAATGCAGGAGATGTGTCGTGGAATAGAGCCATGGATGAAGTTCGCACTGACAGACTGATAGCCATACATGGTGGAAACACCCTCTTGGTGATCATTCGTGATTGGCCAATCAGTGAAAAGTATAGAGATAAACCAGAACTGATAGCAAGTCTTGAATACCTGGTATGTATCGACAAAGTTTGTGATGGTAGTATTGACTCTTTAGGTATGGGCTGTATTTACAATGTATCTATGGTGTGGTAAAGACATCTTGCTTGCCAAAAACCCTAAAATGTCAGATTTTGTGTGGCTTTCATTGGAGTAAAGCTACAACTAGTATTGTTACTCCCCACCTCCTCCTCCTCCTATATATGGGATGCTGGCCCATGGCAGGCTCAACCTTCCAGAATTTTGTCAGGTATCTCTGGTGCAGTAGTTTGCCAGCAATCATTTGTTTTCCTAAACAGAGAGAGACACCCCCTGAGAGTAAATTGTTCTTCTCAAGAACACAACACATTATTACGCAGGGTGGACTCTGATCAAGACTTTTCAAAATTGATTGCAGTGAATGACAATGTATTAGGCAAGATATAATCACTTTAACCCTCTGATCCCCTAAGAGTGATCAGCATCCAATTTCTTTCAACAGTATCACCCCTGAATCAAACATTAAGGTCATGAGAATAAAGAAAATGATAACCAACTGAAGAGGCTCTTGATTGTTAAACAAATTCTCCTTGCCAGCACTTGAGGAAATGTATAGAGAACATTATGGAGAATATGCATACCGATGTTAGGTTGTGAAGGGTTATTGGGCTCAGGCTTGACCCAAATTGGAGTGCTCCACTTTGGTTGGTAAGACAACATGCCAGATCACAAAGAAAAACCAACAGTTTTGCTTTTTTTCTCTTGTGAAAGTCAGCATTCAGAATCACCACAATAATTGATAAAGATATCCTTAACTATCTTACATGTACTTCCTTTTTCACAGATCAGCCGTTTTACTGAAATTATTTTAGACAAAGACAATGACGAAGAGTACAAGTATTTCCGTGTGGATGAAGACTTCGCTCGTCCAACTCTGCTTCACCTGGCTGCAGAACAGAATTTTCTTCATGTGACCAAGTTGCTTGTTGAAAAGTACCCTTCACTTGTTTACCTAGAAACAGAGGAAGTGGCTGGTGAAAGGCCATATTTACCTGTTGAAAAAGCTCTGATGTCACACAAGGATGAAACAGCGGCCTATCTGATATCACAGATGAAACATGACTGGTCAGTACAGGAACCCTGTTGACTCACAGTGTTCTGATTTGGGATGAAAGTATAGGAAAAAATGGTTTGATCTCAGTAACATTGTTTGGAATTTTTTCTTCCATAATATTGATATTATAATATGATATCATTACATCGTACTGGTGGAAGAAATTTGATTTGATTGATATTCACTAATTGGTTGTTTTTAACTATGAATTTACTTTCATTGAATTTTTAACCTTTTTTAGAAAGGGAGTGAATTATCCACAGTATTTCAACTTGAAAATATTCTGTTTTTCAAAAATAAAGGATAATAAGATAAGATTTCATGCTCAGAAAAAGTAATTAAAAAAAAAACTCTGACATTATAATGTTAAAATTTCAAGTTGCACTATATTTGTCTCATCATTTGATGGCTTGATTTTTTTGCAGGCTGTAAATGGCTATCACACTGATTTGGATGAATAATTGTGCTGTGTTGATCTCGAGGAAAGTATTTTGTTTTTATTTTCCAGGGTCCATGAACTGTTTTTGTATGACAATGACATGAGGTTGAAGAGAGCCAAATTTAAATTTACGGAGATCATCAGCCACAGAGATCCAGAAACAAAGAAACTAGACATGCAGGTATAAAAGACTATAAGCAAATTAATGTTATGTTTCCTTGCCTTACCACCTCTCCAAAAACTCCAGGAAATACATTGTTTAGTGGGGTTATTTTGAAACAGTAGGTGAC